ATAGTTTAGTCGGGCAGTTGATCAGTATGGGCATGTATGGGAGTGCGCACACTACGCCGATTCGATTTGGCCGATTCTTCATACAATTTAAAATCGGGCACAACTATCGGCCAACTAAAAATCAACGGTGTGCGCCTACTCTAAGAAGAAGTTAACGCAACGTTTTTATCCCTGTCTTACTAGCTACGAACATGCGATCTTCCAGCCATTATCGGCTTAAAGGCAATCACATTAAGGACTCTCCCAGGAAATGACCGCCATTTCTTTCAGCGACTAAAGTAATACCATAGATTATAGCTGAAATCTAATTAGCTCACACAATGACCGAGGAAACTCGTGAGACAACAATACCTTTTGTGTTGGCTGTACATTGTACAGTTAACTACAAATAAAAGTAGTTTTTGAGCAATAAAGGTGTACAGTAGGTTCCATCTTTAAAATTATTTTAAAAAACTGATAAAAATGGACGGTTGAACACTTTGCAGGTTGAGAACTCTTTTAAATAGGTATATTTACTTCAAGGGCAAAAACAACAAGTTCGCCATGATTTATTCTTTTTGAAAAACATTAATATTAAGTTTAATTAATTATTTTCAGTAAGTTTGCTTTTAAAGTTTATTTTACAAGTGTCATCATATTTCTTTTTTTGTTCTTATTCTGTGTGTGGTCTTAATCATCATCATTTCAGCCATAGGACGTCCACTGCTGAACGCCTCTGCCTCAATGCCAACTGCCTCCCCTAATGCTTTCCACGTTGATCGATTGGTAGCGGCCTGCATCCAGCGCTTCCCTGCTACCTTTACGATGTCGTCGGTCCACCTTGTACAATAAAATGTTCTGATATTGTTATTCTCTAAATTTTCTTAGCTAGGCGCTAATATTTTTTAAAATCATTTACGGGCATTTTGGGTAGGTACAATTATGTGTTAGTTGTGAGAAGAAACAGTACAAAAACCTCAGAGTTGTGTAGTTTTTCAATAAATTTACAAGATTATGATTATTACTGTTGAAAAAGAAAAAAGGTTACTGCATTAACTGCCATTATTTGCCACCCTTATCTCCCAAGGCTGGAGGAGTGTTAAACCACTTCAGTTAAAACAAAACGTATAACTTTTGCGCTGCGAACTGTACTATCGTTGACAATTAAACGCTACCTTTTGTAGCGAAGTAATTATTATGAGTTCTTTTGTTAGAAACTTTCGCGTGTAAATGATGAACTAATAACTAAAATTAGTTAGTTTGAGGTTGAACGAAGAATACGCCTTTGAACAGAGTTGAACAAAGAATACCTTGGCTATGCGCGCACGGGTGACTTTTTGTCACCGTGACACCTGAGTACTTTATAATATTCAGTTAAAAGTTTGTGTTTATTCGGTTGAACGCGCTATTCTCAAGAACTAACTGCAGCTCTTCGAGTGAGCACGTGACCTTTTTAGGAATACGGTATTTGACACAAAAAGACATTTCACATACTTTTTATGACCTGTCAACAGTGGCGGCGGTTGGCTTGGCACCCGGGGCGATTCCCCGATTGGTCCGATAAATAAATGAAAAAAAATGACGATGAACCCATTTGGGTCATCGCGCTACGACCAATAAGAACAGATCATCAATAAAAATTGTTGCGAAAACGGGAAAAATATTCAATCTATTTTCACGTGTAGTACCTATTTCAGTGCACTATTTCGTCATTTCCAAACATGTCAATTGCTCTCACCTCTCAAACCACGTATATCCCCCATAGCTAAGCCATCAAAACCCATGCTTACCATTACATCTCAACAATGAGCCGCGTGAGATCAAACGATGGGCTTACTGTCGATCATGACTGGGGGATTTGAAAGAGACGTCAGTTAAACTGATTGTCAGGTAAGGCGCGACGTACAGTGACGCGCTAGTGTTGGTTTAGAAGGCGCAACACAGATAAAAATTAGGTATTAATAAGTAAGTAATAAATAAGTAATAAATAAGCGCAGGACCGTTCATTGTGGAAAACCTTGGGGGAGGCCTTTGTCCAGCAGTGGACGTCATTTGGCTGAAACGAACGAATAAATAAGATATTTTTAAAAGAGACATCAGTTATACTGATTGTCAGGTAAGACGCAACGTACAATGACGCGGTAGTGTTGGTTCAAGACGTAGCGCCAATAAAAATTAAAATATTCTTAACGTTATGATGATTTTCAGTAGAATAAACATCATAGCAGACTTATCAACTCGGAAAGGGATCAACACCGTATCGCCCGCGAGCTGTCATCGCCTTTCGCGCGCTGTCAACCGCGAGGCGAGGCGTTTACGTTACGGTTCGGATAGTTTGCGTTGCAGTATGGAGGTTCATACAAAGAATACTGACCGCCTCGAGTTGATACGGTTATAATACATAGTATAATATGCCTTTAGTCAATCTAATATCTATCAATCCATAGTTTTTTTGTCTGTAATTGAATTAAAGTAAGAAAAATAAAGCAAACCCATAAAAATACCTCTTTATCACGGTTTTATTATAAAATAGTTTTAATTTTATGGTAATCTGAAACCCTTCTCGGTTTCGCAATATTTTTATGGCATAATGGCGTAAATTGCCATAATAACATGAGATGTCGTCTCCTTGTCGAGTATAATTACGTCTTACAAGTTCATACTATAATTTTTTCATACATTTATGCTCTATTACTGTGAGTTCATACGAATGTTTCGTTAGAAGTAACGTAGTACACTTGATCAATGGACCGACGACCTCGGGAATGGCTGAATAAAAAAACGAGAAAATCGTGCTTTGTGGTGTTCCTAGTAGAAGCTTTCGTCCAGCTATAGACTACCATAGACTGAAATGATGGTATTAAAGATGCCTAAAGTTTTTTTTGGTAATGGTGTTGAACTCTCTCAACCCATAGGGCTCTCCTAACTCTTGTCTTGAGTTGTCATTTCACACATTATAGTTTTGTGAAGAATTGTTGGCTAATTACCAAATAACAGCCTGAATTAATATCCAAGACTTATCCTTCTAGAGATAATCGATATAGACATAGCTCTATGCTAAAAAAAGTCTACATGCTGAAAGTCTATGATCATTTTTTTATAGAGCAATTCGTAATAAATGGGAAATTAAATGTCGGAAAATCTAACAACAATATTTGTATCCCTCCATCCATCCATCCAGAATTTTCTCCATCCTCACAAATTTTCAGATTAATAATATAATATTAGAAGATAACTTTTGTATTAAGTTTTCGTTCTTAATCTTTCACTTAAGAGTTCCGGTTTAAGTTTCAAACCTCAGTGTGCGTTGTCCATAATCCATATCCATAAAATATTTTCGTCGGTCTGTTTGTAATGTAACACCGTTGCGATTAGCTTCGGCGTTTAACAAGTTACTAGTTAAGTACAGTTGGACTGATGAAAACTAATATTGAATTTATTAATTAGAATAACTTAATGAAAGATATTTTAAGTATAAAAATTATACTTTCATTAAAGCACTGGCACAAGAAAACAATAAAAAGTAGACCCAAAAAGCGAGCTAAAATGCGCCCCGCGATGCCAAGATTTGCACATAAGTAAATTAAAAAAGAAAAAAATACTTTAAAATATTGGAATTAATTAATTCAAGGGCGGTCATTAATGAAAATATTAATTAACGTCCTATTCAAAAACATACCTTCTATCATAATTGACTTCTTTTTTACAGCGTGATAACCCGTCAGCACCTTAAATTTTGTAAAATGCTTTTTTGAAATTGTGCCCAAGATGTTTCCGAGGAGATAGCCCGCAGAATCTCCAAAATCAAGAAGCAGTGGGCGGGGCACATAGCTCGTAGAGCTGATGGCCTCTAGGGCAAGAAAGTTCTCGAGTGGCGCCCCGAGCCGGAAGACGCAGCGTAGGCAGGCCTCCCACTAGGTGCACCGACGATCTGGTGAAGGTTGCGGGAGGTGGACATCTTTCGGCTGAAACGAACGAACTAACAATTTACTATTATTTCAATATCTTCGCGGCCGACTGTACAAGCTAACTGATATTTATGCGACTTTAATGTTACTCGTTTATAACTAAGTTGCCCGGGAAGTCCCGGATTCGATAGTTCGTTTATTTATTGGGAATTCGCACGAACGTTCGGAAGTTTAAAATGGTTACGAATTATGATAGAGCACGAATAGTTTGGAATTACTCGAGTGGGATTCGAACCCGTTAATTAATCTATACTAATGTGAAAGTAGTTTGTTACGTTCTCACGTTTAAACTGCTGGTTAATTTGTGATAAATAGGGACCGGATTAAATGCGTATTAAAGTCATTTTCAGCAGTAATAGCATACTTTACCTAAAATCTAGTGAAGAAGCAAGTTAACGGTACATTTACAATATTTTTCAGAGTGCAGAGTCAGAGCACTCATGGACGTCACGAAATGTAACAAAAGTGTTTTTTTTTTCAAATCCAACTTTTTCACTTATGCCAAGACAATCTTGTATGTGAAATAGGACAGGCAGGGCTTCTCATATTAGCTTGAAACCGACTGAACTCAATTGTGAAATGTATAAATGAATTATATTATTTTTGGCAGCTGAAAAAAATTAACGCAGGTGGAAGCCACGAGCTGAAAAGCTAGATCTTATCTTAAAAGTCTCTTCATCTGAGACTCGTGAAACCATATACCTACATAGTTTACTTGACAAATAAGTACCTCACGTCAGGTCTTCAAATCCAATCCAATGTTCATCAAATCTTGGTGAAACCTTTATGAACTTTATGAACCTTTGTTTAGAACCTTAAGGCTGAGTTACTTTTTTTTTGGGATGGATTGTCCCGCTGAAAGGCTGAGTTACACCAACTTACTTTAACTTTGATAAACGTCAAAAATCTGCCAAACTCCACACAAAACCAGTGTGGATATCGTTATAGTCACGGTTAAAATTAGATGGTGCGACTCAGCCTAATTGTTTTTGTTAATGATGTCCGCTATGAAATAGGTAGATCAGACTTTGCTAACTATTATTTTGTTCGCAGATTGGACACTAGAGAGGGCAGGCCGTCACACTGGTCGGACTCCTCCACGCTGGGAGTGAGAGCCACGTTCAGGAGTGACACGTTGCCTGCTGTGCTCATCCTCACCAAACTAAGGTAAGCAATCCTCTTTTCTTTATTATGGAGCCTTTTATAATGAGACTTTTGCAGCGATACAGACGCGATGCAGTCGCGATGCAGCATCGATACAGTCGCAAGACTTTTACACACACGCGATAAAAAAGCAGCACTGCCTTAGCGTGATTGTAAAAGGTTTATATCGCTGCAAAAAGTCGCTATGTGTAAGCTCCCAGGGTCTCACATAGCAAATCTACTGAAAAGGCCAATGTTTTGGTCCAAAATGCTGTTAGTGGCTGTGGCCATATTCTGTCGAAGAACCGACGAAAAATAAAGCAAATTAGTTGTGAAATTTATCTCGGAGAACAAAATAGGACGCTCATCTGCTCGATAGACCGACGACTTCAAGAAGTGAGCTGGCAACGGTTGAATTACAAAAGCGGGTGATCGTTCTTTTTGCTATCCTAGGTCCCCCAAGGTTTACGGCCAGCAGTGGACTGTTGAAATAGTGATAATAACAATCAAATCTATTCAAAGCTAGCAAAATATTGTCATTGAATCAAATTAAAGGTAAGCAGTAATGCGTGGCAAAATTAATAATTCTTTTCACCAAAAAAATCCAACCATGATCCGTGTAACTTCAACCACATTCCCCGCAGTCAATCATATAAACTATGTCCTTAAATCTCTTTTAACCCAAATCCCTATCGTCCAGCAGTTCTATAAATGTACAGTCAACGCCAAATCAAGCATTACTACTTACGATACTGCAACTCCTGTATAGCCAGAATCTCCAGCTTGACCGCCAATAAAAACCCAACCAGTGAAGGTCAAGTTTGTCGCGGAGAAAGTTAAACTGTCATTGGACCCGCAACGAAATTAATCAACTACTAGATGCCACAGGCTGTACAGTCGTCAGCGTCATATAGTTTGTGACACTCAAAGTGTTCAATAAGTTGACAACACGACCTTATTCCAATTATAAGAAAGACTTGCGAACTTTTTGGCTACTTTGGGTGTCACGAACTATTTGACTCTGACTGTACCATCTAGTTTTAAGCCGCACCCTACGATAAATATCACGGACCGTGCTCAATTATTAAAAGGTTTCAGCCCCGTGAAATATTAATTCGGTCGTGTTCACTTGATTTATCGATACGTAGCGAAATGCTTGGATCGCTGATTTTGTTATAAATAATGCATTTCCCTAACCGGAGGTAATTTTGTATGATGTGTGTGGTGTGAGCGACGAGAGGTTAAAGGTTGCACGTAGAAAGAGTTTACTTGCATAGAGTACACTGCCTTTAATAAAGGCAATCCAATCTTCTTCTTGTCGTGTCGACATCAAACCTACACAGTGTCAGCCCAAACTCCGCCACAAGAGTGGCGTTGTCAGTAGCCTTCATTAAATCTTCCCGCGTGCAGTTGTTTGGGCACGCAGGGCACGACATCATGTGCTTCGTCGACTTGGGAACAAAAACACACTAGCACTCCAAGTTTGAACCATCCAAGAACACTTGAACAGATTGAATCCAATCTTACCCTGAATCACAATGCCAAATTTTGGCATTTAAGAGGAAACTTTAGTTTTGTAACGAATAAACTCAAAAAATACTGGACTGAATTCAAAAATTATTTCACCATTAGAATGATACATTAAAGCAAACCTAAATGCGCGTGGGTGAAACCGCGGAAAAAAACTGTATTAAAGAAAGATTAATTTCATTTCAATTGCGAAGAATGCACTCTTTTTGAAGGATGTATGAAAATAACTAAGAGTGTTTGAGAATTTTTATCCTTTGAAGGGCAAAATAAACTATGTTTCCCTAAAAGGTCTTCTGATGGATTCCAATGGTAATAGAAGTCGCCTATCATTTTATCTACAAGTCCTTATACAAAACGGTTTCGCTACAGCTTGTCATATGGTACACAGAAAAGCTGTAAGCTTTTCAAACTAAGAAGTTATGGAGGTAGGTACACTGTGGCCAAAAATAAACCGGGATGCTACTTCGCAGTCAAATGGCAGTGGTACATCATAATTTCAAATTCACATCACTATTATCACACATTCTAGGCATAAACATTTTTTTTAAATTCTGTACAAATTTTAAAACCTTATGCTACAGGATTAGCGATCAAAGTTTCAAATATTGTAAAAAGTTGTGCACAGATCCACAATTTTTCCATGTTTTTTTTTTCAATTGATCTTTAAATCAAACAGTCATTTTATTTTATTCTCAATTCGACATTACAAAAGTTAGATCCGTCTTAAACCACCGCAAAGCAAACAACTTTAAATATCAATCGATCCAACACTTGTGCACGTAACAAAGGCGATCGGTTTTACATTTTGCGGTTCCGTATGATAAGAAACAAAGGTTAAAGTTTTATTGAGCTGATGAACCCTTCTCGTGCACATTTGCGACAGACTGAAGACTTTTTATCATTTATTTATTTACTAGCTTTTGCCCGCAGCTTCACCCGCCTGAAATTTAGTTTGACACAGATCGTCATAAATTATAGCCTATATGTTAATCTGGGTTATAAAGAATAATACTGGAAAGTTTCATCAAAATCCGTTCAGTAGTTTTTGCGTAAAAGAGTAACAAACATCCATCCAGACATCCAGAGCCAGACATCCAAACTTTCGCATTTATAATATTAGTAGGAAGTAGGATAGTAGGATTTAATAGGTATTTGCATATTAACATAAAGTTAAGAAATATAGCATGTCCTGTTGAACTCATCTCTCAGGGTGGAAACGATAAGTGATCTCACTCGATTATTTCTAAATAAATAAAAATAAAATAAAAGTTTANTACGGCCTTATTCCAATTATAAGAAAGACTTGCGAACTTTTTGGCTACTTTGGGTGTCACGAACTATTTGACGCTGACTGTACCATCTAATTTTAAGCCGCACCCTACGATAAATATCACGGACCGTGCTCAATTATTAAAAGGTTTCACCCCCGTGAAATATTAATTCGGTCGTGTTCACTTGATGTATCGATACGTAGCGAAATGCTTGGATCGCTGATTTTGTTATAAATAATGCATTTCCCTAACCGGAGGTAATTTTGTATGATGTGTGTGGTGTGAGCGAAAAGATGTTAAAGGTTACACGTAGAAAGAGGTTACTTGCATAGAGTATGCCTTCCAATCTTCTTCTTCTTGTCGTGTCGACAATAAACCTACACAGTGTCAGCTCAAAACTCCGCCACAAGAGTGGCGTTGTCAGTAGCCTTCATTAAATCTTCCCGCGTGTAGTTGTTTGGCACGCGGGGCACGACATCATGTGCTTCGTCGACTTGGGAACAAAAACACACTAGCACTCCAAGTTCAATTATTCCTACCTAAACAGATTGAATCCAATCTTACCCTGAATCACAATTGCCGAATTTTGGCATTTTATAGGAAGCTTTTGTTTTGTAACAAATAAACTCAAAAACTACTGGACCACTTTCAAAATTCTTTCACCATTAGAATGTTACATTAAAGCAAACCAAAATTCGCGTGGGTAAAACCGCAGGTAAAGTATTGAAGAAAGATTCATTTAATTTAAATTGCGTAGAAAGCAACCTTTTTGAACTCTCAAGTGTTCAACTCGAATAAGATCAATGAAAATAACTGTGTGTTTGAAATTTTTTTATCCTTTGAAGGGCAAAAGAAACTGTGTTTCCCTAAAAAGTCTTCTGATGGATTCCAAATTTTCCAATGGTGGTAGAAGTTGCTTATCACTTTATCTACAAGTCCAACAAAACGGTTTCGGTACAGCTTGTCATATGGTACAAAGAAAAGCTATAAGCTTTTCAAAACTAAGAAGTTATGTAGGTACACTCTGGCCAAAAATAAACCGGGATGCTACTTCGCAGTCAAGTGGCAGTGGTACATCATAATTTCAAATTCACACCACTATTATCACACATTCTAGGCATAAACATTTTTTTAAAATTCTGTACAAATTTTAAAACCTTATGCTACAGGATTAGCGATCAAAGTTTCAAATATTGTAAAAAGTTGTGCTCAGATCCACAATTTTTCCATGTTTTTTTTTTCAATTGATCTTTAAATCAAACAGTCATTAATTTATTTTATTCTCAATTCGACATTACAAAAGTTGTATAGCTTTAACGAGATCCGTCTTAAACCACCGCAAAGCAAACAACTTTAAATATCAATCGATCCAACACTTGTGCACGTGACAAAGGCGATCGGTTTTACATTTTGGGGTTCCGTATGATAAGAAATAAAGATCAAAGTTTTATTGAGCAGATAAACCCTTATCGTTCACATTTGGGACAGACTGAAGACTTTTAATTATTTATTTATTTACTAGCTTTTGCCCGCGGCTTCACCCGCGTGAAATTTAGTTTGTCACAGATCGTCATAAATTATTGCCTATATGTTGTTCTGGGTTATAAAGAATAATACTGGTAAGTTTCATCAAAATCCGTTCAGTAGTTTTTGCGTGAAAGAGTAACAAACATCCATCCAGACATCCAGAGCCAGACATCCAAACTTTCGCATTTATAATATTAGTAGGAAGTAGGATAGTAGGATTTAATAGGTATTTGCATAATATTAACATAAAGTCAAGAAATATAGAATGTTCTGTTGAACTCATCTCTCAGGGTAGAAACGATAAGTGATCTCACTCGATTATACAGGGTGTTAGGTAAATGGGTATATGAGCCGACACTAGCCCATGTTAACATGGGCATATAAATGGTATGGTGAAGTCAGAAAATCTATATCTTGATTTTAATTATTTTAATTTTCATACAAATCGGATTTTATAAAATTTATTTTGTATGAAAATTAAAAAAATTAAAATGATGATATCAAATTTCTGACTTCACCATACCATTTATATGCATATGTTAACATGGGCTAGTGTCGGCTCATATACCCATTTACCAAACACCCTGTATAATTTTCTAAACTATTCATCGAAAAACTGGTTACTGATCCTGAAAGTGCTTGACGAACTCCATAAATGGTATCAATAATAGGTTACAGAATAAACTGGATCAATCCGAAAATTATTTTTCCAAAAAAAAAAGCATTGAAATTGTAAAGTTTAAAACTGTCTTTCTTTACTACGGAACCCTCTTTCCTTCGTCGATAACCATTTGACCCTCTTTTTGTTCTAACCTAGGCTCTTTGACGGTAACTGGGGCATGTAACTAGATACTTTTGATACCTTTGAAGGGATCTTAACCCTTTATACGCCATACCATAGATTAATCGCTGGTCTGTGTGGGATTTGTTTATGGGAGGTTAAGAAATTAGATCTGTATTGTATAAGTAATATAATATGGGTTGAGAAAGAATCTTTATTCGATTGACCTACATTTTCGTTGGCACTTGATTTGGTATTGTACTCGTAATTTGGTAAATAATTTATTCGATATGTTATTGGGAAATGGAGTACTGTTTTTGGCACAATTTTGCTTTGTAATTTTGGTAAACCAAACTTTGTTGAACAATTCACAAAACGAAATCTGTGTATAAATTGAATGCTAAAATAAATTGAGTAAAAGAAAAAAAAGACAGTAAAATTGGCTCAGAAAAATATTACTTTTAAGTTTTATGCCCGTAATCACAAACATTACGATGAGGTCTCACAGTGCGCGTGGACGCACAGCGTGACACACGAACCAATCACAGAGCTCTATTCAACGCTGTGGATTCGATTTGCTGCTTCACTTCGCAAAGCAAGTAGAATGAAGAATTTTTTTTTTCATCATCATCTCAGCCATAGGACGTCCACTGCTGAACATAGGCCTCCCCCAATTCTTTCCATGTTGCCCGGTTGGTAGCGGCCTGCGTCCAGCGCCTTCCTGCTACCTTTATGATGTCGTCGGTCCACCTTGTGGGTGGACACATGTGGAGGATTTTTTTTAACTGATTTTTTTTTGTTAACAGGCCAGAGGACAGTGGGCAGTACCGCTGCAGAGTGGACTTCATGAAGTCTCCGACAAAGAATACGAGGCTCAACCTCACTGTCTTGAGTAAGTATTTTTATATTGTTGGCCATAAATGAAAAACTGGGTACCTACTTAACTTTCACATTATATTATCTCATTTTAAATACCTACCTAAAATAATATATCACTTAGCGCCAAAAGCGCGTAGAGTCGTCCGCGCGCGTCCTTCCTATTGTAACGTTTCTAGTGTGCCATTGACATTACGTCAATGTCACTATGACAGCAGCTCATTGGCTATAACGATACCGTTATTTTTACGTTTTCGATTTTTCACAATCAACAAATGCAGTCGACAGCACAACAGATTATACATTCTTGTTGCAAAACCATTTTTATTATAACGTCATAAGATGCCACAGTGTTTAGCATGATGGGCTGTCGTCAGTACTCATTACTTATTGTGTCCCAAAACTGTGCAAACTTAAGTATAAGTGGGACTAAGTGGGACGGACAAACTGTCGAGAATGATGAAAGGTAAAATTAAGGTGGTTCTTGAAAGAAGAATATGTCTTAGAAAACGTAAGACATCCTCTTGTTCGATGGACGGACGACCTCAAGTAGCTAACAGTCTTTCCACTAGCATACCCGAACTTTATCTGGAAAATTCGGAAGGTTTGGTTTAATTACTTTTTCCATGGAAATTACTTTTTAACTGCCCTATTTGAAGGTAAATAGCTATTTCGACAGTTTGGAAGAAAAAAGCATTGAAAAAAAGGTAGGTATTATAAATTTTAATATTCTTAGAAAATTACAAGTTCCGAAAAACTATGTCAAATTCAAAAGTATCATAACAACCCATATTAAACTTCCTCGTACGAAAGGGTGAAACAAGCAACCCCTAGCCGACATTTCCGCAAAGTTTCCACGGAAAAACTTTCCCATCAGTATATTCCGAAAGAACATCTACATAAAGAAGTTCCCAATATAAATCCTTATTACATGGTTTCCCCTATCTCGCTAAATATCTCAGACAACACCTATAAAGTTAGCTAGGGGAGACCGAGGAGAGTTGTGACATCGTCTGTTTTTTAACCTATTAGGCTGGTTTTAGAGTCACGCTGACGCACGCTGACCGTCAGCGCTGACAGCCGAAATGTATGAAGCGTCGGCGCCAAGCGATCAGTGTCACTCGCGAACGTTCCCCTCAATTACATACATATTGATCAGTCAGCGCCGAAGATCAGCGAGCGGTCAGCGCGATTCTAAAACCCGCCTTAATTATCAGCGAGCCCGCAACAGCCGACGACCTCATAAAGGTAGCAGGAAGGCGCTGGATGCAGACCGCTACCAACCGGCCATTATGGAAATCATTGGGGGAGGCCTTTGTTCAGCAGTGGACGTCCTATGGCGGAAATGATGATGATGATGACCTCGAAACGGTGCGCATTTGTTGCCTCGAAATTTGAACTAGAAAATGCGCGTTTTGCAGTTTGCGGTCTGCGGCCCGTCTTGGAATTGTACCTTTACGAGCTCGCTAGCAGTTAATAAGTCCCGAAAAATCGTCAATTTTACAACTCGCCCCAGTCTCCCCTCCTCGTAGACTCAGTGGGATACGATCAAATGGTCACCATAAATCAGGGTAGTCAAGGACATAGAACAGTTCTTTAGACGCCTAGTTTGGGGGTACGTGGGAAAATAGAGAGACTTGGCCCTTTTCACACGTCCCGGTTGCCGGCTAACCGGCGCCGGGTACCCGGTCGTGAAGTGTATGGGCATGCTGGATTAATTACGCCGGAACATGTGAAAGCTACGTACCATGCCCATACACTTCACCACCGGATACCCGGCGCCGGTTAGCCGGCAACCGGGACCTGTGAAAAGGGCCTTAGGGCTGGCGTTTGATGATAGCGAGACAGAGACATGCTGATACTCCTTTGTTTCTTGATGATTCGTGAATTAGATTTTCTTATCTCTTACATCGCGTTCTATCTTCTAGTTCTAGTAAAGTCAGCGTCAAAGAGTTCGCGACACCCAAAGTGGTCAAAAAGTTCGCAACACGTCTTTGTTACAACTGGAATAAGGTTGTGTTGTCAACATTTTCAACCGACTTCAAAAAAGGAGGAGGTTCTCAATTCGACCCGTATGTTTTTTTTTCTATGTTTGTTACGCGATAACTCCGTCAATTATGAACCGATTTAAACAAATCTTTTTTCGGCGTATAGGTAATACCTCAAGGGTGGTCCCATTTAAATTTAATAATAGAAAAAACAACCCCCAAGGGTGGAAAATTGGGGATGAACTTTTTTATACGCAATATCTCCGCCGATTATGAACCAATTTGAACGATTTTTTAATTTTTAGTTTTTTTTTGTGTTCACGCATTTGAAGTCGGTTTTTTTTTAAAGGTAATGGCCTCTTTGGGTGTCATGAAGTATTTCACACTGACTGTACGGGTATTTGAAATTTTGAATCGTGAATCTTAGATGCTACATCACGTTGTGCCGTCGCGTTTGCTTTCGGAAATGAAGGTACTAAGTTTTGCATAAGTTGGTTCAATCGCTAAGTCAGACCTTACCTTAAAGTTATCGCAATAGATCAAGAGGAATGTTCATTATGTATAGGTACACTAGCATCCGTGCGAAGCCGGGGCAGGTCGCAAGTCTACAAGATTTTATTCAATTCTAAGCTATGCTTATAATTTATGTAGTTTGTGAACTACTAACTTGTGATTGGATCTTAATGTTAATTTAATTTATTGACATTAGTTGGAGCTATTAGTTTCAAGAGTCCAATAAACTCAATAATTATAAATATACGGAACCCAAACATACACCCAGTGTAACAGCCCAATTCCCTTCANTCACTGTCTATTTTTTAACCTATCAGGCTGGTTGTAGAGTCACGCTGACGCACGCTGACCGTCAGCGCTGACAGCCGAAATGTATGAAGCGTCGGCGCCAAGCGATCAGTGTCACTCGCGAACGTTCCCTTCAATTACATACATATTGATCAGTCAGCGCCGAAGATCAGCGAGCGGTCAGCGCGATTCTAAAACCCGCCTTAATTATCAGCGAGCTCGCAACAGCCGACCGACCTCATAAAGTTAAGTTAAATTGTTTTTAATTACCTAAATGTTATTCTGAGCTTTGTTACGTCTTGTTTGAATAGTGTAATTGGTACTACCGTTCTATTCATGAATAAATAAATAATAAAGGTAGCAGGAAGGCGCTGGATGCAGACCGCTACCAACCGGCCATTATGGAAATCATTGGGGGAGGCCTTTGTTCAGCAGTGGACGTCCTGTGGCTGAAACGATAATGATGACGACCTCGCAACAGCGCGCATTTGCTAGCACGAGACTTGAACTAAAAAACGCACACTGTTAAGGTATAATTTCGTAGCCGAATGCACGCAGTAGCAGCAGACGACACGTCGCCGCAACACGTCACTTTCTACGTACCTATTTCTATGAAATTTCAGAAGTCGTGTGGCTAGCAAAATTGATGCTATTTCATAGAGAGACATAGGTACCAGTAGTGTCGCAACGACACGTCGCCGTCAGCTACGAACTTGCACCTTTACGTACCCTGGTAGTTAATTTGGCCACTGAGTCCACCATGGTCCAGTGTACTCGCGACGCCTCTAACCGTCAGAAATGGAAGCACATCGCCAGGAGAGCTACCCTCAGAAATGACATCACCCCACCATGTACGTCGTCAGCGCAACCACGACCACTCAAACAAGAGTGCCCGACTAAGAAGAGAGTATTTTTTTTCCGAATACATCGACAATGTCGTAATTCTCCTCTGTTACAACTTACCTCAGTCTCCCCTCCTCGTAGACCCCAGTGGGATACGATCAAATGGTCACCATAAATCAGGGTAGTCAAGGACATAGAATAGTTCTTTAGACGCCTAGTTTGGGGGTACGTGGGAAAATAAAGAGACTTAGGCTGGGGTTTGATGACAGCGGACAGCGAAGCGGAGATAAGCAGATGCTAATCACTTTGATTGTTGGCGATTAGTTAGTGTCTTAAAGCGTTTTTATCGCGTTCTATCTCCTAGTATTGAGATAGAACTAAATAGGTGCCATTAACCACCGGGGTGGTAAACGTCACCTTTTAGTGCCAACCACCACCCCGGTGGCAAGCTCGAAGGGGGTAGATGGGTGTAAAGGACTATATTATATGCTGCGTTTACACTGCGCGGAAATTAGCCAAGTCAAGTCAAAAAAACAGTGGAGTGGGGATGAATTATGATGGCTAATTTCCGCGCAGTGTAAAAGCAGCAATAGATACTACGAGTACATCACGTTGTATCGACGCTTTACGAGAAATTAAGGTATGAGCTTCTGTATTAGTTACTTCTGAATCGTTAAGAAAGACTTAGAGTACCTAACTTTAACGGTAACTATGACGATAACCGGTGCTTTTTGTATGGAGTTTGACAGATTTTTGACGTTTGTCAAAGTTAAAGTAAGATGGTGCAACCCAGCTTTATGTGTCAGTCAGACAACTTTTTTGTTTGATTTTATTCTAAGTAACTTATTCTATCTGGTTTGTGAACTAGGTGCTATTTTTTAGTTGAATCATAACGTTATAATTTATCATTAGCTGGAGCTATTAGTTAAAATAGCCCTTATTTATAAATATACGGAACCCCACAGAATATATCCAGTGTAACAGCCCAATTCCCTTCATCAAGTAAAAGTTATTTTGTGAAAAGAATTCGTGATTGCCGTATACTTGTGGCTTTATCGTGTTTCGTAATAGCTTATGAATTCTTTCAGTAAAGTCTAGAAACTAGATTAAATCTCCAATTGTTTGTGTCGAAAACAACCATGTATTTATTTTAGAGATTCTAGATTGAAACTGTCTGCTCACCTTGAAATGTTCTTTGTAACTAAGATATTATTATTATTTTGTTAGTAAATAAGAAAGGGTTTTTATGATGTTGTTTCATTCTGTCCTCTATTTCACCTCTTTTAAGATTTATTATCTTTTAAGATTATTTATCTTTTAAAAGTTAGCCTTCTAAGGTTGCTTCAGGAAAATTATTTTTATAGGTCTAGCTATAGACTCTAGCTCTTAACTGGATCAGTGCCTGAAGTATGGCCGTATACAGAAAGAAAGCTGGAAACTTATAAGCGCTTACCGGCGCTTGACAGCGCTGGTAACCCGCGCAGGAAAATATATGAACGCGCGCCGATAAGCACTGAACGGCGCCGACAAGTTTCAACCCGCGCTGGTCAGCGCTGGACGCTGCCATATAAAATGCCATTCAACTTGCTTCCTTTGTGAACGAACGGACCAGAGCGCTGACAAGCGCTGGTAAGCGCTTATAAGTTTCCAGCTTTCTTTCTGTATATGGCCGGCGCGGCCTGACACTGGAGGGTGTTCTTATGACACCAAACTTCAGCGAGACTTAAGATGTGCTGCAGTCTTGTATCTCGTCAGAGTAAATAATATTCTTTGACATATGCACTGACTCAGTTTAAAGTCAAAGTCGAATTCGAATTCCAGTGCCTAGGTGTACATAGTATCAAAGAGTTATCGGTGAGCTTAGTGCGCGCTGGTAGAATTTTGACAATGTAGGGATATTTGTGAAACCATTAATTCCACTCTCTTCTTCACAGTTCCACCTGAGAGGCTGATCATCCTGAACCAAGATGGCAATGAGATCAGAAGCGGCGTCATCGGACCCTACGACGAGGGGACAGAGGTCAACCTTACCTGTGTGGCGGTTGGTGGTAAGTAATCATCATCATTATGGTCTGTAGAAAGTTAAGGGAAAGGAATTTAAGTGTTAATCGTTGGGAAAAAAATCCCATCCAGTCACACTGGTACTTATCACAGATAGCACCTTTAATATCAGGATATAAGAGACTAGCTTTCCGCCCGCGGCTTCGCCCGCGTGGAATTTTGTCTGTCACAGAAAACATTATTTTATCGCGCGCGTCCCTGTTTCAAAAACCAAGATAAAAACTATCCTCAACTCAAAACTATCTCCATGCCAAATTTCATCAAAATCGGTTCAGTGGTTTAGGCGTGAAAGCGAGACAGACAGACAGAGTTACTTTCGCATTTATAATATTAGTATGGATTTCATTATAAAGAAACAATGTACAAAATACATACTGCTGTCTTTCCTGAATACTATAATCCGGGCCATTTCAAGGCGAGAGTGAATAGGCACTTACAGGGCAGATTGTACCATCCTAGACTGCAACTTACTTAATACCTACCAGGTACGATTGCGGTCAAATACTTGCCTTAGCCTGCATAAAAAAAACCGTTAAAAATCAAAGTTAGTTAACTAATCTAAGTAAAAAAATACAAGGTGACCTTAAACATAGTTTATTTATAAAACATTCTGTAACACTTGTTGTAATATAGAAATGTTTAATGTTGGATAGTCATAATTGGCCTACAAAATCTACTAAAAAACATTGTTATTAGATACAGATTGATATTGTGCTGTGTACTATCCTTAAATAAATAAATAAATAAATAAACCTGTTTGAACTAAATACACTTTTTTCCTTCTCTATTTCTAAAACAATAAGGCTGTGACTTGTTACAAAATACACGATAAAAACACATCCAAATTGAATCGCTCAGGTATTCTGAGAGAATACCGCAACGTCACACGGCATGCATGGTGATTCCATGGGTTTCGGTGATTTTCCGTGGAATTTGAGGAAGGACGACACACGTCAGGAACTTTGGGACCTCTGCCGTGTAACACCCATGGGACCCGAGTGTCATGGTTTAATCTATGTGATAACCTTTGTGCAGATGTGGTTTGCATTGTCATCTATTTTTAAACTGATAGTTAAAATGTAATATTAAAAAAATCACCGCCTAGCTGGTGGTTATACACTTCTGGACACACCTATTGGCCCACCTTAGAGTTTAGGTTTCGATGGCCCCTACCAAAATATGATTGCTAGATTGAACAAAAACTGTTGATGCAAAATAGAAAACAGTAAAAAAATAACTATACCTCGGCACCAAAAATACTTAATTCAGAATAAGCGATACTGCTACTTAATCTTTTAGACGCAAATAAGTAGATAAATAGATGAACCTATTTCAGCATTAAAACCTACATAATATTGTTTTGACAGCCCTGTAACTAGTTCTCTGTAACATTGATTAACTATGTTTCGGAGAAAACCAAGGAGCAACCAAACAAGTTGCCAGTTGAAAAACATTCGCTAATTCTTTCCAACTCTCTCTTCTACCAATTAAGCAGAAAGTTTCTAGTTGTAAACAATTTATAATACTGTTTCTAGTAGATTTTTGATTTTATTTGATTTACATAGATCCACAACTGCTAAGTCCAATATTTTAATCTACATTACTATAAGTAGGTATTTAAGTATGTTTTTTTTTATATCCGTTGTCTAGTACCCGTAGTACAAGCTTTGCTTAGTTTGGGACTAGAAGCACAGTGTGAATTTCCAATTATATTTATTTATTTATTATTTACTATAAGTACATACAGGGTCTCCCATAATGACCGGGACAAACAGATATAGGCCCAAAACGGGGGATTTTACCCTAGACTGCATGTAGTAGGTACACTAACGCCCGTATTCACAAACGATACTTGCTTAAGTGAAGCAGCAAATCGAACGCACAGCGTTGAATAGAGCTCTGTGATTGGTTCGTGTCACCCTGTGCGTCCACGTGCACTGTGAGACCTAATTGTAATGTTTGTGAATACGGGCGTAAGCATCAGATAGGATTGCGGTCAAATACCTGGCCTTTTCTAGCATAAAAACAATTAATTTTCCTACAAGTCCTTTTGTTTTCACAAATTCCTATTGCCCAAATTATTCTAATAAAACACTTCAATTCTCCCGCGCAGTGAATTCATTCACCCCAACTCCTAACCCCTTTACCCTCTCAATCGAAAGCATGAAAAATTGAAATTGGTGTAATTCATTCAACAAAACATCGATATTACCACTCATCGCTCGGCAATCAATCCCGCCCCTATTGTTTTTGCAATTATAAATACGCAAAAATGGTGGGAAATTCTTTGTTTGCCGCCCTTTATTCCTGCTGTATTGTTTCATTAAATCTGTTGTTCTGAGCATGACCTAACCCCGATCAACTGTCATGGAGTCGAGTCTGCTCCCGGGGGTGTTTGAAGCGAAAAATGTCCGTTTCACGCATGTTGGGGGATGGTACAAGTCAAAATTTATATTTGTTTTTAAAAATTCCATGGAAAATTGCTGAAATTTGAAACGATAAGTGATCTCACTGTGTAGTTTTTAATACTAAGAGGCTGTACCAAACGTATGGAAGCCGGAAAAATTGAATTTTCAGATAGTTCCAATTTATTCTGTAAACTTTTATTGGTACTGTTTGAAAGAGCTCGTGTAGCGCGTTCAGGATCAGTAACCAGCTATTCGATATCTTGTATAGTTTAAAAATAATCGAGTGAGATCACTTATCGTTTCCACCCTGTATGTTACGTTATGTAATATAGACCTGGGTCAAAATTAAATACAAAAATACACCATATTAAATCTCCAGACAAACCCAGAATCACCGCTTCATCTCCACACTTGCAACCTTCACCCCTTGACAAGGGTACCGTGGTTTTGTTCTACACGCTTTTTTCCCCCGTTATTCCCCATTCCCCACTTTTGGGGTTTCGCAACAATTTTCGTGGTTTGTTAACGACAATGCCGGGGTACACTCGGGTTTTTAATTTGATTTAGGTGACTCCCGGTCAGGGATGTTATGGATATCCATAAACGTAACCGAAACTTTCGGATATCCGAAATAAAAAAAATATCCGAAACCGTAACCGTAACCGATTCAAAAGTTTCGGATAGTTTCGGATGTAGGTCAGATGTCAGTTTAAATTGTTTTTTGTATAGCATTATATGTAACGGCATAACAGCCTGATTTACCTTTATAATGCCATCTAGTATCAATTTTATTTTTTTATTAACTTTTTATTCGATGTAAAGTGTGCGGCCATGAATGAACCGTGTTGGACAACTATTGCAAATTGCATTCAAAAGCACAGATATCCGTAACCGTAACCGAAACTTTCGGATATCCGAAATAAAAAAATATCCGTAACCGTAACCGAAACTGGTATAATATTATTCCTATATCCGTAACCGTATCCATAACCGAAACTACATATCCATTACATCCCGACTCCCGGTGTAGCCGAAACCTGTGACAACTGTGTGTTGATAGCATTTCAAAGTATTAAATTAACTTGGGTCTAATTGGTTTATACAAATGTTTCTGAGAAAATGTGATTCAAACGTTTAAATGAAGTTAGGTCTGAAAATGAATCTGAGTTTTTGCTTTTCTTCTCTTATTCCATAGGGGTTGGTGTTGTTTCAAACTTTATAAGAAAGAGAAAAATAGTTTGATTTCGTGTGTGATGTCCGTGGCGTTAAAACTAGTACTAAAGTACATTATTATTCGTCACCTAAAAATATCTTACCGTGCCATCCCGATAATGTGCGCAGCCCTAAGGTGTAGCTCTGCAGTTCTTTTATTAATTTTAGTTGTATTATAAAATTCCTAGATTACTTGTTTCATAAATATTTAAATAAATGATTGATTGTTCTTGGGCGGGCTGCGCCCTTTTTGCAACTGTCATCCGCAGAATAAGGCTGAGTTTCACCACCTAACTTTCACGGTAACTATGACGATAACCGGTGCTTTTTGTATGGAGTTTGACAGATTTTTGACGTTTTCAAGTAAGATGGTGCAACTCAGCCTAAGAGTACCAGTGGTCGTGACGTGCTCTCTGCCGTATACTGTGCAAATACCATTTTGGTGCTAGTACTGGCACCAGTTAAGCCGAGGGGCGAGGGCCCACGGCGATTTTTTGTAGCAATGCAGCAGCGATTCTGTCGCGCGTTCGCATCGATAAAGTTGCAATGCGGTCGCTAGCTGTGTGCCCTCGCCCACATAAACGCGCTTCGGTCGCGATGCAAACGCGATTCAGTAACCCTCCCTCCATTCTCTCCCCGATGTCGTCCGACACGGTCGCGCGTTTGCATTGATACAGTCGCGCTGCTGTAGCGCAATAGTAGCGCGTTGTTATCGCTTCTGTAGCGCGTTGCAAATGCGACTAACGCGCGTTAGTAACGATGCTGTCGCTCGTTTCGAAACGCCCGACAGCATCACTGCAAAAAGTCGCCGTGGGCAAGAACCCTAAAATATTTTTAGTTTTTAAATATTCTTCCTTTCTGTATGGCGATTATCACACTGCACCACGCTCCGCCGCGGAACGCGGGACGACAGATTTAATCATTGTATGCAAGTACCTTAGTTTGTATAGAAAACACGCGCGGCACAACACACTGACAACGCGTCTGCGCGCGGGATTTTTTATATTTAATCACGCGTTCCGCACGCGGTGCAGTGTGATAATTGTCTATTTCTAATTTACCTAACCTCTTTTTCTTCTCAGGTCGCCCAACCGCCAGGGTGTCGTGGTGGAAGTCCCATGCCCTCCTGGCCAACTCGGAGGCGCGGGCCTCCGTGTCCTTTCGGCTGCAGAGGTCTGATTATGGAACTGACATCACTTGCCAAGTAAGTTCATTTAGATACAGAAATTAATACGGGTCATTAATACAGGCCTCCCACTCGGTGGACCGACGATCTCTGGTGAAGGTCGCGGAGAGCACCTGGATGCGGGCAGCGCAGGACCATTCGTTTTAAACATCATAGGCGCAAAGAAAGTTGTCGCGAACAAAACACTAACATAGATTGCATGTACAAAAACACATTTTAATTCAAATACTGAACACACTAGCTGCCTCGCTCTTGCTAAATATAACAAATGTGTGCAAGCGAGATAGAAAGCATCAGTCTAGGCAAGTGACGTCAGAGCGGGGAGCGTATGATACATAAACACAAACATTTATTTGTATTTCCTTGTGTTGTCGCCCCAACTCTTGCTGCGCGACCTATAGCGCCCTTTTTGACAATATTTAATACTGTGTAATTTAATAGTGGATAGTTCAACGATTGTGTAATAAACATGGTAAAAGATATAACTCAGAAAAATCACATAGTAATAAATGGTCCATTCTTTCATACGGAACCGTAAATATGTAGACGAGTTCGGTACTTTAACTAACTCCCATACAAACTTGTGGAAGAGAAAAGTTGTGCGATACAGAAACTCATTCGATATAGTGAATTTGTTGTGCGCAAACGTGTCTTGTTACTTTGACGACGTTGCCCTAGATACGAAGAACTTGGGAAAACTCGATAAAATTTCATAATTCTTTTGCTTTCATTCTTTCTTATTTCGTTGTATCAATTAAGTGACTGCTTATAATATTTTCGCACTTATAAAAAACCGAAGCCCGAAGGTAAACTGACCTAGAATGTATTCACAAACATTACTATGAGATCTCACAGAGCACGTGGACGCACAGGGAGAGACACGAACCAATTACAGAGCTCTATTCAACGCTGTGCGTTCGATTTGCTGCTTCACTGTTTTTATTTTTATTCATATATGGGCGTAGTCTTTTTTGTTTCATAAATCATCTAGTACTTTTCTAGGAATATAATAAATCTATCACAGAAACCGTACAAAACAAGGAATATTCATATATCACGACACTGACACAAAGGAATAAAACATTACAGATCCTCCTATTGAAAGGGAAGTGTATTTAATCATCTCATACATCACATATTAATATCTTGTGCCACTTGTTCACAGGCGGTGACAGATCCCTCAATATCGCCGGTGTCGGAAAACCTATCCATCGACATTAATCGTAAGTACTTATCTATGGTTCTCAACCTTTTTATATTTATTTGTAGTCTTAGTGTAGTCTTCACCCAACAGATGGCGCTGACACATACATGACTATACCTGCATCGCGGTTTTAGAGTTTTCTGCATTGACGAGTAACATTATAGGACCTTGGTTCCCGAGTACAACGGCTATTATAGCTTCCTTAGTCCTTAATCATCAATTTAATCCCAAGTAGAACGTATGCCTACCTACTAAGAGTGAAAGGGAGAATGACACAGAGTAATTTCCACATTTTCAGTATTTAATGTATAGCGGACTTTTGAAAAGTTGCACCATCAGTAAGCTTAGGCTCATAGGAGTTTCTCATAATGATGACCCTACTTTTAATTACAATTTTACGCGTAAATCCTTGTACTGCCTATGTTCATCAGAAACGAAGTAGGATTTTAATAGTGAAAGAATTTTTGAAGTTTCGGAGCCTATTCAATACAAACAAACACTATTAAAACTTAAAATAGTAAGACACGGGTCTTAACGCGACGTTTATTAATAAGTTAATTATGTACTCACGGCTTGACGTTTCGGCTGCGATGCTGCAGCCGTGGTCACAAGCAGACTGGCGGCTCGCGGCGTCGTCCGTTCGGGCGGGCTTGAAAATTTTCAACTACCCTCATATTGTAGTTTGTTACACTACCACTAGTGTAAACAACAATTAAAACTTTCCTCTTTATAATTAGTGTAGATAGGCTGTTTTTGATTCCCTCCAAACAAAACACTTTCCTAACCTACTTTTTCTCTCCAATTCCTAACTGTAAGCTCTCTACAAGTTAAAACTCGACTCCTACTTGAGATTGCCTTAACTTATCTTCTTTGGAGGCGGGACACTCGAGTTTCTTATTAAACATTAATTACTGAAACTTTGCCACGGACTTCCGGACTATAGGACTGAAAAATACAAGACGGCCGAGGGTTTGTCGGAGTGAGGATGCAACTTTAAATTGGTTGAGGGATTTAAAACTAGTCGTCTGGTCACTAGTCTAGTCTAGTTATACATATAGGCAGCACTAACCCCCTTATTAATAAAATATTACTATTTAAATCAAAGATGTAACGGCTAAATAATGTAATAATAAATAAATAAATACATAAAAATAAAAGTTACACCGACTTACACCCTAGTGTAGTTGTGCTTGGAGTTTCCCTGCGTGATCGAATCAGAAATGAGGAGATCCGCAGGAGAACCAAAGTGACCGACATAGCTCGCAGAATTGCTAAAACCAAGTGGCAGTGGGCGGGGCACATAGCTCGTAGAGACGATGGCCGTTGGGGCAGAAAAGTTCTCGAGTGGCGACCACGGGCTGGAAGACGTAGCGTGGGCAGGCCTCCTACTAGGTGGACCGACGATCTCGTAAAGGTCGCGGGAAGAGCCTGGATGCGGGCAGCGCAGGACCGTGCATTGTGGAAAACCTTGGAGGAGGCCTTTGTCCAGCAGTGGACGTCATTTGGCTGAAACGAACGAACGAACGAACGAACACCCTAGTTGAACTCTGGCTTAAATTGTCATTTAGTATGGAAATATCATTTTAATCCAAGGTTCATCTTAGGTGTAACTTTTTATTAATAAGGGGGTAAAGAGTTTTATTGAGGAATCAGCACTGTTTTGATTTAAATGGAGGTGTTTTTATTGAAAAACAATACTCGTACCTATTACCTAAACACGCCAAAAATCGCCAGTCTTAACAGTTCTGAGCTAGCTATAAAATTAAAATGATAATTAAAGTGATAATTAAAATTATAATTAAAATGATAATTTAAATTATAATTAAAATGATAATTAAAATAGAGACTAATGTTCTCATTCTGTCTAACAGTGGTTAAGTTGGTTACTTTTAGAGTCCAAATTCGGAAGTCCTTGGTTTGATTCCCAATGGGTCACTCTTTAAATAATTATTTTAATACATAATCATTTTGAGGTCGTACAAAAGGCCCTATCAATTTGTCATTCCTAGACAATTTTTAAGCCAAACAAAAAAAACCAAACATTTTTCGTTATTACTTCTTATTTTCAAGCGGACCCCTAAAAATGTTATCCAGCCCTTATATTATCACTGCTCATCTCCTATAATCTTTGATTGACGTATCATTACCAAAAACGGGATAGCTATGGATGAGTCGCCATTTATATCGTCGCCTCCCACTCGCACTTAGCGGGGTTGTCACCTGTCCCTTTCGCACGATGTCAGGATTATTATGTCGATATGAGATGTATGATATTGTATCTGAAGGTACTGGCATGCACAGAAGTGTTACGGATTTTTGTGAAAGAAAATATTCAATATTTTATTGAGAAANCGGCCGCCGCGCCGCCCGCGCCCCAGCGCCACGCCCACGCGTCCGCCTCCGCCGCCGACAACGCGCTGCGACTGCTCACCTCTGCAACAAGGCAACGTCAAAAACATTTTTACGGCTGAGTTGCACCACCTAACTAAGAGTAGGCACACACCGTTGATTTTTAGTTGGCCGATAGTTGTGCCCGATTTCAAATTGTATGAAGAATCGGCCAAATCGAATCGGCGTAGTGTGCGCACTCCCATACATGCCCATACTGATCAACTGCCCGACTAAACTATCGGCCGACGAAAAATCAACGGTGTGCGCCTACTCTTAGTCTAGGCGATTTCTTGACGTTTGTCAAAGTTAAAGTAAGATAGCAACCCTATTTGTTAGACTACTAGCGGCCCGTTCCGACTTCGCACGGGTAGATATAGGTATCTAACTATAGTACCGGACTATACGGACGGTGCCGAGCACGTAGAATTTCGTCCAATGACCCCAAGCTACCCATCCTTATCGCTCACGCGTATTGCTGTCTGTCGCGACTGTGCGACGGGCGACCTCAGTGAGTGTGCGAGCGCGACATCAATATAATTACGTGCGAGCGATAAGGATGGGTAGCTTGGGGTCATTGGACGAAATTCTACGTGCTCGGCGACCGGGCTAATCTAACAAACAATAAAAAATAAAAGTGCCTATATTGACTTTTTGGCATACCTACTAAATAAAAATACACATATTTCCTCTACCTATACTAATATTATTATTATAAAGAGAAAAGACTTGTATTTTTACGGAGTACGACTACGGAGCCAACTCCGAAACTACGACGGATTTGAAAAAATATTTCACCATTATAATCGTAATTTTTTCCTAAGTCAATTGTACATATATCTACCCGTGCGATGCTGGGGCGGGCCACTACAAAATAGAAGTATAGATTAAAATAGTACCCGTGATAGTACTTACAATCGTCAAATTAAAAAATAGTTTAGGAAGCATTTACATAATATTCTATGAACATAAATCTCACAATCTTTTTGCACTACCAGCGCTACGAGACCAATCTTTTGCAAGTGCTGAGAGGCAGTGCCGTATTATCCATAAGGCACTTTAGGCCAGTGCCTAGGGGCCCACTATGACCAGGGCACCAGCACTCCCGATTAAAAAATGAAAAAAAAAAAAAAAAAAAAACAATGTTAAAGATTATTTTTATGCAACAAAACTCAAACCACCTCAAAACTTCGCTTTATTTTGGTTTAAACACATGTTCAATCGTCATATTGCGATATTGTGGAACATAATTCATTTTCGTAACGTTGGCATTACTGCTTTGGTTTAAATGACAGGATTGGGGGAGTCCCCGTTTTTTTAGTAGATTTCTACTTTCTTGGTAGATTTGAGGCAAAGAGAACGATGATTTTAGTTAGGCCAGTAGAATTAAACACAAAAATTAATCAAATCGGAAATAATTCCTACAAAAGATTTTATTACTACTTATTAATGGCTTCATTGGTTGCCAATTAAGACTCTCCTAGGTTTTCGACTTCGACGGAGCTAGGTTTTTGACTTCGAAATAGTTGTGCTTAAGTGGTGGGGGCCCCCGAAAGGGGCGTTTTTTCGGTTTTCCGGTTATACCGCGTAAAGGACTCATCCTATCGAAAAGTGGTCTTCATGACGGTTGAAGAGTACTTAATCCTGCATTATATAAGACCAAATTCACATGTTTTGGACAAACCGTTCTCGTGCTTATCTTCGATAACTAGAAAATTTACGTTTAATTAATGACCGTCTCCACGTCCAATGGCTCGTTACCCGCAGGCTTCCAAGTCTTGTAAAGGGCCGCCTCAACCAGTGTAACCCTATCAAGGCTTACGAGCTGGATACGCCTATCATTGTTCGTCCCAGCCGTTCCTTAGCTGCGGTTGCTGCACCTCTTCCTTGCACTCTCCTGAACGACTCTGTATTACCTACTGTGGCTGCCCCTCTTCCTTGTATCCTCCTGCACGACTACTTTGCCTAGCCGTATGCCTGGTCCAAGGTTCGACGCCAAAAATCAACAACAACAAGTTCATATTAAAACGCTGAAGTGTTTTTTGTTTGTTTGTTTGAACGTGCTAATCTCAGGAATTACTAGTTTGATTTAAATAATTATTTTTGTGTTGAATAGCTCATAAATTATGGAAGGCTATAGGATATATACGATCACTCTACGACTAATAGAGGCGAAGCAGTAAAGAAAAATATTGCCAGCACGGGAAATAGTATTGAAACAATTTTCACGCGTACGAAATTAATTTTGTGGCGTCGAACCTTGGACCAGGTACATACGGCTAAGCAATGCAGTCGTACAAGAGGGTACAACGAAGAGGGGCAGCCATAGTAGGTAACACAGAGTCGTTCAGGAGAGTGCAAGTAAGAGGTGCAGCAACCGTAGTTAAGGATCGGCTGAAACGAACAAGGATAGGCGAATCCAACTCGCGAGCCATGACAGGGATACTGTGGGGATACGCTGGTTAAGGCGGCCCTTTACAAGGCTTGGGAGCCTGCGGGTAACGAGCTATTGGACGTAGAGAGGGTTATTAATTATACGTACATTTCCTACTTTGTCGAAGATAAACACGAGAACGGTTTGTCCCTTTCGGGGGCCCCCACCACTAGCACAACTCGGTCGAAGTCGAAAACCTAGGAGAGTCTTAATGGGCAACCGATGAAACCACTAAAGCAATAAAATCTTTTGTATGAATTATTTCCGATTTAAAATCTAATTCTACTGGCCTATAATATTAAAACATGCTTTCAATACACCTACATTTTGTAATGTGATGATGACTGGAGTCTGTTGTTGATGATGATGATGGTACCTTCATTCTACATATTTCGTAATGACAGTAAAAATTTCCAAATTGCGTTGTTGTGGTATGAAAAAGGGGGGGCCCGAAACGAGCTGTGCCTAGGGGCCCCGAGATGGTTAATCCGGCCCTGCTGAGAGGAAACGACGCAGCAAACTCAGTCACTACTGCCCGTCTAGTGCAGCGACATACAACCGTTATAGACATGTGTCTATAAATTTTTAATTACAAATTCTGTAATTAAAAAGTAAATCTGTGTTACTTTGAAAAGCTTGCCCCTGAACGAATTATGGAATCTATCTTAACTTGTACATAATTTGATGTCTCGTGTGTTATTTGAATAGAGTGTGCCTACACAATATGTAGGTAATATGAATTATATTTTTACCTATTGAGGTTTCGTATATTCTTAAATAAAGAGTGTACCTACAATCTGCTTGTATCAATGGGGATAGATGACAAATGAAAATTATGGGAACATAAAATCNATACTGAATAAACATTTTTTCTTTCTCTTTCTTTCTTATTTAAATTATTTACGGAAAACATGATTTTAGGTTTAACTTGCTACAATATCATCAAGAGATACTAATTAATAAATACTAAATAAACAGATAAAGGGGACGGCATTAAGGCACTCAGAATTCTCAGAAACCATTGATTTCGTGTTTGTTTGTAACTGTATTAAATGTATGAAAGCTGGAAATATAGGTTTTTTGAATAGATTCAGTTCGTTCTTAAACATATTATTGATGCAATTTGCTAGGTCTCATGAAGCACTTTTTCAGTAAGTAACCATTTGTTCGACATCTTGTATACCTACTATAAGAAATATTCGAGTGAGATCACTTATCGATTATTTTCGGCATCCTTATTTGTATTAAATTTAATTAAAATACACTAAGGCTGAGATGCACCACCTAACTTTGACTCTAACTGACAATAACCGGTGTTTTATGTTAGACAGATTTTTGACATCAAAAATTTTGATACAGACAGACAGTACTTTTTATTTTCTTCATAAATCTTTTAAATCTATCACAGAAACCGTACAAAACAAGGAATATTCATATATCACGACACTGACACAAAGGAATAAAACATTACAGATCCTCCTATTGAAAGGGAAGTGTATTTAATCATCTCATACATCACATATTAATATCTTGTGCCACTTGTTCACAGGCGGTGACAGATCCCTCAATATCGCCGGTGTCGGAAAACCTATCCATCGACATTAATCGTAAGTACTTATCTATGGTTCTCAACCTTTTTATATTTATTTGTAGTCTTAGTGTAGTCTTCACCCAACAGATGGCGCTGACACATACATGACTATACCTGCATCGCGGTTTTAGAGTTTTCTGCATTGACGAGTAACATTATAGGACCTTGGTTCCCGAGTACAACGGCTATTATAGCTTCCTTAGTCCTTAATCATCAATTTAATCCCAAGTAGAACGTATGCCTACCTACTAAGAGTGAAAGGGAGAATGACACAGAGTAATTTCCACATTTTCAGTATTTAATGTATAGCGGACTTTTGAAAAGTTGCACCATCAGTAAGCTTAGGCTCATAGGAGTTTCTCATAATGATGACCCTACTTTTAATTACAATTTTACGCGTAAATCCTTGTACTGCCTATGTTCATCAGAAACGAAGTAGGATTTTAATAGTGAAAGAATTTTTGAAGTTTCGGAGCCTATTCAATACAAACAAACACTATTAAAACTTAAAATAGTAAGACACGGGTCTTAACGCGACGTTTATTAATAAGTTAATTATGTACTCACGGCTTGACGTTTCGGCTGCGATGCTGCAGCCGTGGTCACAAGCAGACTGGCGGCTCGCGGCGTCGTCCGTTCGGGCGGGCTTGAAAATTTTCAACTACCCTCATATTGTAGTTTGTTACACTACCACTAGTGTAAACAACAATTAAAACTTTCCTCTTTATAATTAGTGTAGATAGGCTGTTTTTGATTCCCTCCAAACAAAACACTTTCCTAACCTACTTTTTCTCTCCAATTCCTAACTGTAAGCTCTCTACAAGTTAAAACTCGACTCCTACTTGAGATTGCCTTAACTTATCTTCTTTGGAGGCGGGACACTCGAGTTTCTTATTAAACATTAATTACTGAAACTTTGCCACGGACTTCCGGACTATAGGACTGAAAAATACAAGACGGCCGAGGGTTTGTCGGAGTGAGGATGCAACTTTAAATTGGTTGAGGGATTTAAAACTAGTCGTCTGGTCACTAGTCTAGTCTAGTTATACATATAGGCAGCACTAACCCCCTTATTAATAAAATATTACTATTTAAATCAAAGATGTAACGGCTAAATAATGTAATAATAAATAAATAAATACATAAAAATAAAAGTTACACCGACTTACACCCTAGTGTAGTCATGCTTGGAGTTTCCCTGCGTGATCGAATCAGAAATGAGGAGATCCGCAGGAGAACCAAAGTGACCGACATAGCTCGCAGAATTGCTAAAACCAAGTGGCAGTGGGCGGGGCACATAGCTCGTAGAGACGATGGCCGTTGGGGCAGAAAAGTTCTCGAGTGGCGACCACGGGCTGGAAGACGTAGCGTGGGCAGGCCTCCTACTAGGTGGACCGACGATCTCGTAAAGGTCGCGGGAAGAGCCTGGATGCGGGCAGCGCAGGACCGTGCATTGTGGAAAACCTTGGAGGAGGCCTTTGTCCAGCAGTGGACGTCATTTGGCTGAAACGAACGAACGAACGAACGAACACCCTAGTTGAACTCTGGCTTAAATTGTCATTTAGTATGGAAATATCATTTTAATCCAAGGTTCATCTTAGGTGTAACTTTTTATTAATAAGGGGGTAAAGAGTTTTATTGAGGAATCAGCACTGTTTTGATTTAAATGGAGGTGTTTTTATTGAAAAACAATACTCGTACCTATTACCTAAACACGCCAAAAATCGCCAGTCTTAACAGTTCTGAGCTAGCTATAAAATTAAAATGATAATTAAAGTGATAATTAAAATTATAATTAAAATGATAATTTAAATTATAATTAAAATGATAATTAAAATAGAGACTAATGTTCTCATTCTGTCTAACAGTGGTTAAGTTGGTTACTTTTAGAGTCCAAATTCGGAAGTCCTTGGTTTGATTCCCAATGGGTCACTCTTTAAATAATTATTTTAATACATAATCATTTTGAGGTCGTACAAAAGGCCCTATCAATTTGTCATTCCTAGACAATTTTTAAGCCAAACAAAAAAAACCAAACATTTTTCGTTATTACTTCTTATTTTCAAGCGGACCCCTAAAAATGTTATCCAGCCCTTATATTATCACTGCTCATCTCCTATAATCTTTGATTGACGTATCATTACCAAAAACGGGATAGCTATGGATGAGTCGCCATTTATATCGTCGCCTCCCACTCGCACTTAGCGGGGTTGTCACCTGTCCCTTTCGCACGATGTCAGGATTATTATGTCGATATGAGATGTATGATATTGTATCTGAAGGTACTGGCATGCACAGAAGTGTTACGGATTTTTGTGAAAGAAAATATTCAATATTTTATTGAGAAATTTGGATTTGTTTTTTTAAGTTCTTCTTGTTGTTTCAGCCAAATGACGTCCACTGCTGGACAAAGGCCTCCACAATGCACCAGTTCTTCTTACCAAAATATTTTTTCGTCCTCAATAAAAAAAGTTTCAATATTGTTTTCAATGCATTATGTTTTTCAAATCTATTAATTAAGTAGTACCTACTTCAAATTCAAAGGTTTAAGTGTTCCTAAAAGTTTTTGTTCCAATGATTAGGACTAAACAGTCGTCTGTTCACAATGGGATACTTGACATAATTCCTAAAGTTTTATTTCAAACGACTTAAACTAACATTGTCTTATTTTAAACAAACACACATCAATTCCGGCCTATTAACACCGAAATACCGCATAACACTCTAAAGATAGCAATCGGAAGAATTCACGAAAATCAAATACACACGTCTTCCAAAATGGCATAGACTACTTACCTTAACAGACTCCGCATAGGTTGTTATTGAAGTCCTTTGTACAGCAGAAAACGAGTTTAGGCTAAAAAGAGGAAGCTACATTTTAAATAAACCCTGAGAAATTCATTTTCGTTATCTTTTTAGGGTTCCGTAGTCTTGACAAGGAACCCTTATTTATTATTTTGATGTGATAGAGTGATTGGAGTGTCGTCAATTCGTCATGACCTTTTCACTATTATGAAGTCAGCAGTTTGCATTTCTCATCACAATACTTTTTCTCAAAAGAGAACTCTCAGAAAACCTTTCTTTTTTATTATTTCATTATTTCTGAGCCGGCATATCTAGATAAACATAACACCTTATTTAGAGGGGAGGTAGCATTTGCTATTATTTGTAACACAATGTAGTTTAATGTGCTGTCAACTTCTTAGCGATGTCTATGCCACAAATTGGTCTGTCCCATTCGAGACTCAAACCGCGCTCCCGATCGGTCTGTCACCGGAGATCCTAATCCGACCCTCTAATTGACACCTTGATATAGTTCTTCCCAAGAATAGACAAGAGGTTAATTTTTTATCTGGAAACCAGGTCGTTTCTTAATTTAATAATATGTGGCTGTACCAAATGTATGGAAGCTGGAAACATTGAATTTGCACTTACAGGGCAGATATGTACCATCCTAGACTGCATCTCACTTAACACCAGGTGCGATTGCGGTCAAATACCTGCCTTGTCTAGCATAAAAAAAAAAAAAAAAAAATTTTGGGATAGATCCAGTTTATTCTGTAACCTATAATTACCGTTTGAAAGAGCTCGTGAAGCACGTCACATCGTTTCCACCCTGTATAAATAGCTAGCTTATGCCGCGTGGAAAAAACGAGACAGGAGAGATTCTAAGAATATAAAGTAGGTTTTGTCGCGTAGAAAAAACTAGGCAGACGAATTTCTTAGAATTTATAATATTTAAACTGCTTATAAGGCAAATAATTACATCATTTTATAACTCAAGAAAGACTGGATAAAAATGATCAGATTTTTTATAAAATAACGGAAAAATCTCTACGAGCTATGTCCCGCCCACTGCCACTTGATTTTAGCAATTCTGCGGGCAGCGCAGGACCGTTCATTGTGGAAAACCTTGGGGGAGGCCTTTGTCCAGCAGTGGACGTCATTTGGCTGAAACGAACGAAACGGAAAAATACGAAGAGAACATTTTTACTACCTAAATTTTACTAGTGCTAGTGCTAGTACTAACGGAGTAACTCCGTCTTCTGCAATTGACAGCTCACGTCAAACACGCTTATAAAACCATAAATCCTGATAATTCTAATAATAATCATAAATCTCCTAAAAAAATATGTCATTTATTATGCGGTACGAAATTCGCGGGGTCAGCTAGCTGGTTTATAAAACTTATTATGTACTGGAGTTTCAGGTTTAAGGTAATTCACCTTTTTCACTTTTCTTTGTAAAAAAATATCAAGTAAAAAAATAGTAGGTAAAGCAATTTCTTCGCGACTATACACGTAGGTACCGAACATAATTGCTTTCTCAAGTATGGCCGACGTCTCCAAGTGTCGACGTTTTGGCACTAGCCCGAAACGTTATTACATGTAATCAGTATAAAAATGATCATTACTTTACCTTTTCATGTTAAAGTTCATTAAAAATGTAGGTACATAATACGAATATGAAGCGTTTTGGGAATGACAAGAGATTTATTAATATCTGTATTGTTTGGCGTATTTGGGATTATTTTATGTAGTGAAATTAACCTAATACCCTTGGTTTTGTCGTTTTACACTGCACCATCTATTCTCCAAATTAACAAAACTTGTATTTTTAGGTACCAGCTGATAACGGTTACCTATAAACTTAACAGTTAAGTTAATAACAGAGAGCGTCTGCATAAAAAATACATGAAATGTATGACAGATTGTCCCTATAGATTCCTAGCGGATACTTTCAAACTACAATAAATATGTATTAAAACTACACAAGATATCGTTATCTATATATATGTTACAGGAAATGTATGAAATCCGTCATTGTATACAATTCCTAGGAATTGTGTATAAGTCCTAAAATCACCCGGAAATGTGTGATGTAAATCATATTAGACACATTTCCTAGGAAAATTACACAATTCCTAAACAGGTTGCGGAGCGAAAAATGAATGACCATTCCATGAAGATCGAAAAGTGACCGGTCGTATAAAAACATTTCCTGGATTTGCGTTTT